AAAAAAAAAAAAAAAAAAAAGTGGTGCTGGTTGCAGCCTCAACCTCCCTGGGCTCAGACGATCCTGCCACCTCAATCTCCCAAGTAGCTGAGACTACAAAAGCGCACCACCATACCTGGCTAATTTTTGTATTTTTTATAGAGAGACAGTTTCACTATGTTCCCCAATCTGGTCTTGAACTCCTAGGCTCAAATAATCCAACTGCCTTGCCCTCCCAAAATGCTGGGATTACAGGTGAAAGTCACCATGCCTGGCCCTAAAAGTATTTTAAATCATGGTTTCAGAGTGGAAAGGAAATCCATAGGTAGTGAGAAACTGAACTCTAAATTAACAGGTCATACAATCCATATGGTTGCCTAATACTTCCATGTTGGCTCTGAAACATCAAGTTTCTGGTTGCCCCTATTTTATAACTACCAATTTTCATCTTACAGGCACATTTTATTTCCTTTACTATGACAAAAAGCACAGGTTAGTAGAGAGTAGAGTATAAATGTAGATCATACATCTTCTTCTTTAATAGCACAGTACTGCGATGGGCATGGTTGCTTCAGTATTTCCTCCCACTGACCATCTTCAATCAGCTCTTGATCCACTTCCTCAGAAGGCAGATCCTAAAGCAGAGATAATGGTTACTGAAGCTGTTTAGTGTTTACAGAGTACGCTTTGTCTCATCAACAGAAGAAATGCAGCATCATAGTTTTCACTAATTCTTCCGGTTTACCATTTATGTTTAGAGCTTTTAAAGCAAACCTTAAAAATTTACAAAAACAACCATATGTGGCTCATCAAAGTTGACTAAATGGTTCCAACATCATTATCCTGAACAGAGTTTAAAAAGAAAAGAATTTTTAAGTATTATACACTCATTTAAATAAGTGTCTCTGACAACAGATAGTTCTCTGTATTACATGAGATGTCAATTCCCTCACTTTCAAAGTGTTATAGTCTTTGGATAAGTATGCAAATCAGCCTAATTTTAAAAACAAACAAACAACAAAACCCATTTTATTCCAAAGTTCTAGAACTCTGCTCATCTTATAGTTTGCATGCTGGGTATAACAGTAACTGTTATCTTCCATGGTCAATAATGAAGACATCTGGCCTGGAAATAGACCAAAATATCTTAAAATATTTCCCCCAAATCCAAGAAATACAATAATTATTTTTGTGTTTAAAACAATATGATGCTTGAAATCATAATAGTGGTATATAAATCAATAAAGTGTCAGTTATAAATCCATTTGGTAAGCAGGGATTTAAAAGAAAAGCCTCTGACAATTCTTACCTCTTCCCCTATAATTGTTAGTTTGGGGAATTTCCGGGCCAATGAAGAACATATGCTCATCTGTACCAATCGGTCAGCTTTGGTCTGCAGGTCTGTTGCACAGGTCTATAACAAAGAATGCAAATTTTCGCAGAACAAATGAGAAGTAAGTTGTCCTCTGATTCCTTGTGCATCAGTGCCTACATAATTGACATTACATTGTCAGTTTTTAAAGTCATAGATCTTAACACCAAATGAATTAACTAGTTTCTTGACTTGGTTTTTCTTAAAGGATTAATAGTGGTTAAAGTTTGGAAAGGAGTTTTTTTTTTTTTTGAGATAGAGTCTTGCTCTTGTTCCCCAGGCTGGAGTGCAATGGTGGGATCTTGGCTCACAGCAACCTCCAACTCCCAGGTTCAGGCAATTCTCCTGCCTCAGTCTCCCAAGTAGCTGGGATTACAGGTGCTTGCCACCACGTGACAGCTAATTTTCATATTTTTAGTAGAGATGAGTTTTGCCATGTTGGCCAGGCTGGTCTCAAACTCCTGACCTCAGGTGATCCACTTGCCTTGGCCTCCCAAAGTGCTGGGATGATAGGCGTGAGTCGCCATGCCCAGCCTGAGGAAAGCTATTCTCTTTCCTTCTCTAAGATAAATATTCCCTGTTCTATCAACATAGCTCCAGACCTTATTGTTGGAACCTTGTGTGACAAACTGATTATACTGTTTTTTAAAAATAAGGTATCAACAAGAGGACATAAAGTACTAGAAATGCCTGAGCATACAGAAGACAATGAGACTATTACCTTTTTTCCTAACTTGGCACTACATCCCTGTTCCTTTCTAGCTACCTGTGTTTCAAAGTTGTATGTCTAATATAGTTTCAACATAAGATCAGCTTAAAGTAAGTGATGTTAAGGAAAAAGATCCGAAAAAAAAAATTATCCAAAATACTGGCAATGGTGGCATGATGGATGATTTTGGTTTACTTTTTGCTGTTTTTCTCCATTTCCTATTTTTCAAAATAGAAAAAGCTTTATAAAAAATAAGATTAGTAGCCCTCTGAAAGCAGCAGTATTATTTTGTTGGTTATTACTAAGCATATCTATGGTCAACTAAAACCTCTTTTTCAAACAAATTTGAATCAGATTTATCTTACATAACTTGAACATGAATACAGGACTTTATATTATTCCTGTTATAATATCCTGTTCGATTTGGTCCACTTTTCTCAGAGGTTGCAACTATTTCTGAATACTTATTCTGTGATTAAATGTATTAACTAGCCTGCCCAGCTTTATCTTATTGACAAATTTGATAAGTGTGTTTTCTGTATCATCCTCTTCCACTTCAGATAACACATTCGATATTTTTAAAAAACTGTGTGTTATTTAATAAAGAAAATAGTACAATGTCAGGAGCAGAGTCCTGTGATCAGCCAATAGTGAACCTTTTCCAGGATGAAAATGACTCATCAATTTAAATTTCTGGATAATGTTATTCAACCAGTTATGAATACACGTAACCATGGCTCAGGATGGAGGATGTTGGCCATATGACTAAAAATAGTTTGAATCTTTTTAAAATAGAGAATGACAGACTATAACAAATATTTTCTTTAAATCAAGATACCTCTATTTCCTCTATGAGCAGGCCCATCAATCTATCAAAAAAGGAAACAAGATTTATTTCATTTGTTCTCACGAGTTTTATTTTTATTTAATATTATTTGTTTATTTTAGAGATAGGGTCTTACTCTGCTGCCCAGGCTGGAGTACAGTGGTGGGATTACAGTTCACTGCAGCCTCTAACTCCTGGGCTCAAGCAATTATCCCACTTCAGTTTCCCAAGTAGCCAGGACTATAAGCATGTCCCACCATGCCAGACAGGGTCTTGCTGTGTTGCCCAGGCTGATTTTTATGTTTACTTTTTAAAAGCAATTATGTTGAATGTTCTTTTGTTTTTTTGAGATGGAGTTTCGCTCTTGTTGCCCAGGCTGGAGTGCAATGGCACAATCTTGGCTCACTGCAATCTCTGCCTCCTGGGTTCAAGCGATTCTCTTGCCTCAGCCTCCTGAATAGCTAAGACGAGAGGCGCCCGCCACCATGCCCTGCTAATTTTGTATTTTTAGTAGAGACAGGGCTTCTCCATGTTGGTCAGGCTGGTCTCAAACTCCCAACCTCAGGTGATCCACCCACCTTGGCCTCCCAAATTGCTGGGATTACAGGCGTGAGCCACCACGCCCAGCCGTGTAGCATGTTTTATAACGAACCCACATCAACTTTTTTCTATATTGTTTTTACTCACATATCTCACTTTTTCTTATGCTAACAACCTAGACAGATTTATCACTTACAAGTGAGTGGCTTAACTCACTGTATTTTAAATCATTAAAAGGTCAATGATAAATCATATCCTATTAATACTCTCACTTGGAAGAAACTACGAGTTTCCTTAAAGACTATAATAAAGATTTAGGCCAAGTGTAGTGGCTCAGACATGTACTCAAACCCATAATCTCAGCACTTTGGGAGGCTGAGGTGGGAGGATTGCTTGAAGCCAGGAGTTCAAGACCAGCCTAGGCAACATACTGAAACCCCATCTCCACAAAATAAAAACATTAGCTTGGTGTTGTGGTGTGTGCCTGTAGTCCTAGCTACTCAGGAGGCTAAGTCAAGAGGATCCTTTGAGCCCAGAGCTTGAGGCTGCCACCAGCTATCAGTGTGACTCTGCCACTGTACTCCAGCCTCTGGCAACAGAGTGAGACCCTGCCTCTTAGAAAAATAACAAAAAGATTATAATAAAGAATTTAAGGATTAAAAGTCAATATATGAAAGCTTATGTGTAAAATTTATAATGTGAAGTAATAACCAAATCCTATGGAAGATTATATTTTAAACTGGAACACAAGCATGGTGGTATTTCTTTTAAAAATCAACTATCACTATAAACTTTGTAATAAAATCTATTTAAGTTTGTAATTCCTATACTGGGAAAAACACTCTTGTTTTGAGTTTCTTTTCCATGAGGAAGAAAAAAATGTATCACTTTGATTGTAACAAATACTTATGTAAATGCCAGATTTTACCAAACATGTTGAGTTCACTAAGGATTGCATGGTGTTACATGCAAGAGATTACTCTAGAATTTGAAGCTTGGTTACAATGCCTTGGGGATGAATATGGTTCAGAAGACCCAGACATATAAATAAAGATCTTGGATGCAGGAAGTCTGGAGTCATTTTCAAAGCAGAGATGTAATCCTTTTGAACGCTTTTGATGGCAATCTCCATAACAGAGCCATCAACTATTTTAACTGATAAAGTCTGTCCACAGTTTTACATCATTTAGCTAAACCTCAAGAACAAAAATAAAGTTGGTATGAAATGATATGAGAGTTTGAGTACCTTCTCCACAATACCCAGGTCTCCTTCAGCAATAACACGTCTGACTATCATTCCTGCCTTTTGAGCAATAGAATATGCTGAGGCTACCAACCGCATCAACACAGCGTTACTGGAAGCCATGGTAAACTCTAAAAAGAGATCAAGAAAAATATGTTGTTAGTTTCAAATACTGGTTTTATTTACTTAAATTCAACTGAACATATATTAATTGAGTGCTAACTTGGGATTGCTCCCATTAAGTTCTTTAATACATATTTACTAAAAGAGACTTGAAAAAAACTCCATTTGGACATTAACTCTTTCAATAAAGTCTACATTTTTTTATGTCCCTCTGCAGATGGGGCATTTGAAAGCATAGGAGACAATGACCCAGGCTGCTGAGCATGTGAGACAGTTTGTATGTGAGGTGGGTAATGTGCAAAGGATGTGGAAGGTGCTTTGGAGGCTAAAATATAAGATGTAATAGTTGTGTTTGAGGAGCTAATATTTTGGTGGGTTGTAGATAAAATAATGTAGCCTAATGCCTATAACATAAATTTAGGAAGCACCAAAAGAGGTATGGATAGTATAGGGATGTACATGTGTAGGGCATAATTAAAAAGGCAGGTTTAGCCCATTTTCATGCAGTTATAAAGAATGACCCAAGATTGGGTAGGCCAAGCATGATGGCTCACACCTGTAATCCCAGTACTTCAGGAGGCCGAGGTGGGCAGATGACCTGAGGTCAGGAGTTCAAGACCAGCCTGACCAACATAGTGAAACCCCATCTCTACTAAAAATACAAAAATTAGCTGGGTGCAGTGACACACATCTGTAATCCCAGCTACTCAGGAGGCTGAGGCAGGAGAATTGCTTGAACCTGGTAGGTGGAGGTTGCAGTGAGCCGGGATCATGCCATTGCACTCTAGCCTGGGCGACAGAGAGTAAGACTCCATCTCAAAAAAAAAAAAAAAAGAATGACCCAATACTGGAGAATTTACTACTTTCAATGGCAAGAACACAATTACTTTTGCACCAACCTAATATAAAGATGAGGTTTAATTGACTCACAGTTCAGCATGGCTGGGGAGGCCTCAGGAAACTTATAATCATGGCAGAAGACAAAAGGGAAGCAAGGCACCTTCTTCACAAAGTGGCAGGAAGGTGTGAGAAGTGAAGGGGGAAGAGCCCCTTAAAAACCATCAGAGCTCATGAGAACTCACTATCACAAGAACAGCATGGGGGAAAACTGGCGCCCAGGATTCAATTACCTCCATCTGGTCTCTCCCTTGACACGAGGGGATTATGGCGATTATAATTCAAGATGAGATTTGGGTGGGGACACAAAGCCTCACCACCTCAGAGGGATTACCTGTGACTACAATTATTTTCTGAAAATCAGTGAATATTCTTCAGAGATTGAATAAAATTTAATCTGCTATTATTTATCTCCATCCTTGTCAGTAACCACATAAAGAGAACAAGCAACATAACTAACTATAATAAAGACCAATCATCTGGAAAAGTAATGTGTGTCAGAGAAGTCCCTAGCTCCAATGAAATAAATGGAAAAAACAGCCTTTAGAATCAAGTACATTGCTCTTAGAAAATATGACTTCAAATTCTGAAATTTTAGTGACTGTTCTGGATGTACCACCCACATTCCCTTCAGGACTGAAGGGCTTATTTCCCCAGTTGCTGAGACAGCTGTCAACAGATGGCCCTTAGCTGCCGTCTTTCTTTGGGAGTCTATCTTCTCAGAAGGATCACTTCATCTGAAACTTCACAACAGGGAGATTTAAAGACCACTTCCAACCCCAAGTGGGCTGCAACCCAAGCACTGAAGGGCATCCAGCTTCCAGAGTACCCTATGGGGTCAACTGAGGCCTTAGCTGAGACTGCATTACAGTCCAAGATACCTTCTTCTACTTCTCCCTTCCTGCCCTTCCCTCCCACAGTGATCTTGAAAGCACTCCCTAATAAACTTCTTCCACTTTATCTGTGTCTTAGAGTTTTATGGGGAACCAACCTATGACAAAAACTTTCACCTCTAAATCAAGTCAACCTTATTTCATCGAAACAAGAGAACATATGATTATTCCCTATATATAAGGACTATAACATATATACATATTATATATAGCGATTCTCCTGTCTCAGCCTCCCGATACCACGCTTGGCTAATATTTTTTTAGGAGAGATGGGGTTTCACCATGTTGGCCAGGCTGGTCTCGAACTCCTGACCTCATGTGATCCGCCCACCTTGGCCTCCCAATGTGCTGGGATTACATGCTCAGCCCTGGGACTACATGCTCAGCCCTGGGACTATAACATAAAGGACATTATAAACCTCTATTCAGCAATAGTCATTGTTCTACCATGAATTTCTGCATGAATATTTGATTTGACGTGCCTTTTTACCCCTTTACATCTTTTTTTTTTTTTTTTTTTTTGAGACAGGGGTCTTACTTTGTCACCCGTCTGGAGTGCAGTGGTGTGATCTTGGCTCACGGCAACTTGTACCTCCCAGGCTCAAGAGATTCTCGTGCCTCAGCCTCCCGAGTAGCTCAGTTTACAGGCAAATGACACCATGCCTGGCTAATTTTTGTAATGTTAGTAGAGGCAGGGATTCACTGCATTGGCCAGGCTGGTCTTGAACTCCCGACCTCAGGTGATCCACCTGCTTTGGCCTCCCAAAGTGATGGGATTACAGGTGTGAGCCACTGTGCCCAGCCTCCTTTATATCTTCTATCATCCACATTCTATTGACAGGTATTATGAACCTAACTGAAACAATAAGTGAAGTGCTGGAAACTCTTCAGAAGGAAGATGGCATTGAAATTTATGGTAGGTGGCTGGGCATGGTGGCTCATGACTGTAATGCCAGCACTTTGGAAGGTCGGGGCGGGCTGATCACGAGGTCAAGAGATCGAAACCATTTTGGCTAACATGGTGAAACCCCGTCTCTACTGAAAATACAAAAATTAGCTGGACATGGTGGCATGCACCTGTACTCCAAACTACTCAGGAGTCTAAGGCAGAAGAATTGCTTGAACCCGGGAGGTGGAGGTTGCAGTGAGCCAAGATCGAACCACTGCACTCCAGCCTGG